CATCACTTCATTGACAAACAGCACTCACTTGAATTTTCTAGCAATTGATGGAAATATGCTAGAAGGTGTGATTCCTGAAACCATTGGCAATCTCTCCAAGGAACTCACAAACTTATACATGGGAGAGAATCGTTTCAATGGAAGTATACCGCCTTCCATCAGTCGTCTCAGTGGTTTGAGTTTGTTAAACTTGAGCTACAATTCAATTAGTGGAGAGATTCCAAAGGAGCTGGGCCAGTTAGAGGAGCTACAAGTTCTAGATCTGGCTGGAAATAATATATCAGGAGCTATTCCAAATTCTCTTGGTAATCTTGTAAAGTTAAACAAGATTGATTTGTCGAGAAATGAACTTGTGAGTAGAATACCGAACAATTTTGGGAATTATCAAAGCCTGCTCTACATGGACTTATCTACCAACAAACTCAATGGAAGCATACCTGTGGAAATCCTCAATCTCCCAACTTTGAGCAATGTGTTAAACTTATCAAACAATTTGTTGAGTGGACCAATACCTCAAGTTGGGAAACTGACTACCATTGCCACCATTGACATTTCCAACAACCAATTGAATGGAAATATCCCCAGCTCAATCAGCAGTTGTCTGAGTTTGGAGAAATTGATTTTGGCCAAAAATATGCTTTCAGGTTCCATTCCAAAATCTCTTGGAGATGTGAGAGGATTGCAAACTTTGGACCTGTCCTCCAACCTACTCTCTGGATCCATTCCTATTGAACTTCAAAATCTGCATGTCCTTCAGCTTTTAAACCTCTCTTACAATGACTTGGAAGGAGTCATTCCCAATGGTGGAGTTTTTCAAAATCTCTCTAACGTTCACTTAGAAGGAAATTCGAAACTATGCTTGAACCTTGCATGTGTGCCTCGAGTCCATAGAAGAACACACGTCATATTTTATATCATCATAGCTATTGTGTTAATATCGGTTCTCTGTCTCACAATTGGCATGCTGATATACATGAAGTATACCAACTTGAAGGTCGCAGCAACATCTGGACAGCTCAAGCCACAGGTATTACTAAAATATCTCATTTATTGATAACTTGCTGAGTGTTTAACAATGAATACAATGGACTCTTTTTATACAAACAAGTCCATACGAAAATGAAAAAATAACAAGGATAACTAGCCTAACTAATTATTAACTTACATTCTCTATGATAACAGACTCCAATGGTCTCTTACGACGGGCTTCGTTTGGCAACTGACGGGTTCAGCCAAGAAAATTTAATAGGAACGGGGAGTTTTGGATCGGTGTACAAAGGCTACCTAAGTCAAGAAAACAGTACTGTTGCAGTGAAAGTGCTTGACACACTAAGAACAGGTTCTTTAAAGAGTTTCTTTGCAGAGTGTGAGGCTATGAAGAACTCAAGGCACAGAAATCTTGTTAAGCTAATCACATCATGCTCTAGTGTTGATTTTAGAAACAACGATTTTCTGGCTTTGATCTATGAGTACTTAAGTAACGGGAGCTTGGAAGACTGGATTAAGGAGAGGAGAAAGCATGATAATGGAGATGATTTGAACCTTATGGAGAGACTAAATATAGCTATAGATGTTGCTTCTGCATTAGATTACCTGCACAATGATAGTGAAACTCCTATTGTGCACTGTGATATTAAGCCGAGTAACATTCTCCTGAATGAAGATATGACTGCAAAGGTTGGAGACTTTGGTTTGGCTAAGTTACTGATTCAAAGATCAAATGATCAATTTTCCATCAGTTCCACTCATGTCCTTAGAGGTTCAATTGGTTACATACCTCCAGGTTAGTACGCTGACAACTTCCTCTTTCATTGTATATTCGATATTCTTAGTTCTATCATGATTTGTTTAACTATAACTAATACAGTACTTTTTCTCTCAATGTAGAATATGGATGGGGAGAGAAAGCGTCTGCAGCAGGAGATGTATATAGTTTTGGAATAGTGATACTAGAGCTCTTCTCTGGGAAAAGTCCACAGGATGATTGCTTCAGTGGAGGCCTGAGCATAGCAAAATGGGTGCAATCAGCATTCAAAAACAAGACTGTTCAAGTCATTGACCCTCAGCTGCTATCCCTCATTTACGATGACGACTCTGCTAGAGATACTAATCCACAAATTCAGTGTGTGGATGCAATTATGGGAGTTGGCATGTCCTGCACTGCAGACAATCCAGATGATCGAATTGGCATAAGAGCTGCTGTTCGCCAACTAAAAGCTGCCAAAGACTGTCTTCTGAAAAAAATCTGATATCAAGAGTCCTACTGGAAGCTATTTGACAAATAATGCAGAAGTGGAAATTTGAGGCCAAAGGTAGAAATATAGGAAAATAGTGTATAATAGACCAAATAAATACTCTTATTATGATATATGGTAAGAATTGATATGCATTTCTACCACTACCTTTAGATGGTATGGTTGATTGTGCTTAATACAATAAAGGTGATTTATGAGAATTTGATTGATCTGTGCAAATTTAGAAAAAAATGTCTCATTCGGTACACTTACAAGCTTTTCCACCCTTGCCGGTTGTGTAGCATTAAGGTGTATATAACAAATTTGTAGTTATATCTTGCTAATTTGCACTAACCATTCCAATTATCTCATAGTGAGATTTTAACAATGACAGACACAGGAATGTTGACTACATGACCTTGATTACCAAACAATCCAATCCTTCCAAAGCTTGCAATAGAGCTGTTGCTGGTTGCATTGAAGATCACAGATAAGATTTGTCTCTCCCCATTGGCTAGAGAGAAGCGAGTTGGATATACTTTAACTGAAACTCCATATGGAGAACTCCAACCAACATTGTAAGTTTCATTTCCAGCAATGTTTTGTACTGTTCTCTGCACTAATCTAGATTGGTTCAACCTCGCTATTGTGATTGAAGGCAAGTTTAGATCAGAGCCATAGCCAGTAGAGTTATAAATCAAACAATTCTGACCAGTGTAGTCGAGAACTACAGAAGCTGTACCATTCATACCACATAGAAAAGACATGTAATCATCATAACCTACAAAGAAATACATGCCATATACACAATTCAAATAAGTTTATAGTTATAGACATTATAAATAAAATGAAAAGGTTTAGAAGTTCATTAAGTGACTTACTTGATTCGAAAAGCAATCCCGGGTTTAAAGCTGCAGTAGCGTTCACAAACCCGCTTCCCATGTCAAATGGAGTTGCTGGCGATTGGTTTAGGTCTGGGGAGGGATATGACCGCTGTGCTGTTATTGGCTTCCCGCTGTTGTCGGACAGCAATGCTGTGGTGGAAAGCGCAGATCCAATGGCTGCAGGGCTGAAATTGGGAAACTTTTGCTTGACTAGTGCAGCAAGACCAGCAACATGAGGTGCAGCCATGCTTGTGCCAGACAACATTGCAAAATTCTCACCTGTTAAAAAATATAGATCAAATATTCACATTGCATTAAACGGACAAGCATAGAGACTAATCCTTGAGATAGAAAGATCTATATAGATCATTATGTTATTGGCCTAAATTCATCTAGATGAACCACTTTGGCCTAGATTGTCTTTCCGTAAAAGTATGTTTATATATTAACAAACCTAGAAACTCGTCTGAATCAGTGGCAACAGAACTCCAAGCAGCCCATATAAAACTTCCAGGGGCTACAAGATTGGGTTTCAAAATGTCAGCTTCATGAGGAAAATTGTCCTCTGGATCTGGTCCTCTGGCAGAGTAATACATAACATTTGGGGCAACATTGTTATAGCTCGCCGTAAGTCCACCATTGATGCTAGCAACAGCCCCAAGTTTAACAATTTTTTCTGAAGTACCGTCTTTTTCCAGTGAAGAATTGTAGTATTCTAATAATATCTGCTCAGTAAGAAACAATATACTTTATGAAAACATCAAAGATGATAAGCATATTTTGAAAAGGAAAAACGGACACTCCACCTTGGAATCATTTGCAAATGGAATTATTATGCCAGGAATTTTCATTGGAGTTGGATTAAGCTGAAAACCATTCACAGAAGGATTCATGGGAAAAACAACCCCGGCAGCACTAAGATTTGTGGCTGTTTCTACGGCCTGCTTGATGCTGGAGAGACCAAGCACAAATCGCATTGAATAGCTACACATTAAGAGGTTTCCTTGGACCAAATCTTTATTGAACTTACTTGAATCTTGACACTCGCCAACATACATATCATCAGCAATTGTTGTGTCATCGTTCAAAGCATGATGCGCGTGAATCAAAGTGTACATTGTGTTCTCAGACGTGCCAGCTGGGAATGACATAAAAGAGCAAATTTAAAAACCTAGTTATAATACATGTCAATAGCAACACGGATAGCACAAATTTGCATACAGAATACACAAGCATAAACAGGGATTATACATATACAACGTTTGTGTGAAATAAAGTCATTAACTAATTATAGCTAACCAAGATTAGAGAAACAGAATTTTACGTGCAAGTCCAACTCCGAGTATAGTCACATTATTTCCAAGAGATAGCGAGTTGCTATAAACTCGATCATGAGAGGTGGCACCAATAGTAAAGATCCATGGGCTAAAGGAGGACATGCTCATAGCCGAAGGTCCAGTATTTCCAGCAGCTTGCACAACAAAAATACCAGCCTTTGTAGCTGACAACAATGCCATGTCTATCGGATTGAAGAAAGTTGCAATACCGGGAGGACGCCTATTAGGAGTGATTGACAAGCATATTATATCAACTCTATCTTGAGCTGCCTGTAAACAATTAAAAACTATTCATAATATTAAGCCTTACATAAATGGCATAAACAGCACTGAGTACTTGTCTCTGTATATATTTACCTGATCAATAGCTGCAACAACATCTGCAGCAAACCCTCCAAATCCCTTGTATAGTGCCTTGTAAACAGCAATTCTGTGAAAGATTGAAAAGAAATGCATTCATAAATCGAAAAGTAAAACAAACCATCATAATATTAGCAAAATAACTTTTAACTAAAGTTAAAGAATAGTTACTGCGAACGAGGAGCCATCCCACTAGCATTTCCGAAATGATACCCATTAACAACCACTGGAATTCCATGGTTTCCAGCTGCAATAGAAGCTGTGTTCCTGTATATTACAGATACATCAGAATGGACATTCGGTGGAGATACAAGTTAACTTAATATGTTTTTGAGGGTCGATTGATTGATATTGAGAAAAGAATGGAGCAAGTGCTGGAATACTCACGTGCCATGGCCATCACCGTCGAAGGGAGAAGCATAGTCCTCAGTTGGATCAAGCATTTCTCTGATTATAGCAGATGCTGCAAAATGACGGGCGCCAACAAGCTTCCTATTGCAAGAACCAGATGGAAAATCTGGAGTAATCTCGCAGGTGCCAGAAAAACGAGGAGGAGGATGAAATGGATGTTCAGATTTATCATCAGTGAAACTAGGGTGTGTAGGATCAATGCCTGTGTCAACAAATGCAATAGTGATTCCTTCTCCGGCAGTCTCAAATCCACCTGATTGAAACCAAGATCCCTGTGGCAGACCCAAAAACTCCGGGGTATGCGTGGTTGCAGTTCTTACAGAAAAATCTGAAACCACATTGGACACTTCTCTTCTCCTTGATAGCTTCTCTGCCTTTATAAGTGATTTCAAATTAAGCATATGTCAAGAAGAGCTTATGCATAAGCACATATGTCATAAGTGCTTAATTAAGCTGTTTATCTGAAGAGTGCCAGAATCATGATTTGAAAAATGAAAAGTAACACCATACCTGCTGTTGAGTAACAAGCACAGAAAATCCATTGATCAAGTAATGATAGCTATAGAGTTTTAGATACTTCTCTCCTTTAAACACCTTCTTCAACAATGAATCGTGAACTTGTGCGATGTTAGAACCACGTCTCTTATATGTCTTTGTAAAATTTTGATGTCTGAAAAACAAATACTAATGTTCACAAATAAACTAACTAGTCCAAGCACCATAAGCACTTCCTAAACCTTAAGAACAACAAAAAACGAAAGGGAAGGTGTACCTTGGATTGTGAAGTGCGGTTCTCCTAAAAGTACCATGTCTGAAGTTGTTATAAGCTGTGGTCAACTCATTCTGATAGTGAGAAGTAGGGGCTTGTCTGAGAGTAACAATGTACACATCAGTAGTTGAATCATTTTGACAAGAAGAATGCATTAGAAGCATCCCAAAGAAACACAACGCCACTAAATGTGCTCCAAATGTGTTCTTTTCCATTATTGCTTTGGAATTCAAAGCCCCGCCAAACATGATCGGAAAACTAACAACCACGAATCTTCAGCAGCATGCATAGTTAACTCATCCTCAAGTGCAAGACTTGAAGTGTGAAGTGAAGCCAAACCAGCATTGAAGAACATAAGTAGCAAGATTTGTTAGTATTAATAGCTTATGTATGTCCCAAAATATAATTTACATGCATATATAGAAAAAGTGGAAATGGAATATTCGTATGCAAATAGAAATGTAATTAATTTTTGAGTGCATTTAAAGGGAAGCAATTGGTGGGGCACAATACATATTGGCTTGAAGCGCATTTAAATTTTGAAATATTTAAGACATCACCTTTTGCCAGTGAGTGACTATCAAAAGAAAGTGGATACATTGTGTTTTAATGGCAATAGTGCATGCAAGTGAATGCGCACTATCTTGTAGTATTAATTCCTTTTTCTATGAAGAAAATGAAAATGAGCAAATGATACCTTGTAGAACAACAATATCTAAATTCTGTAAACACTTTCACTTTTTTCACTTTCTTTCTCTCTCTCTATATGCACTTGCCGTCTTAAATTTTTGAATAGCTTGTGTAGTTTATGAGTGACAAAATAATTAAGGGTTCATGGTTTAACTCAAACTGTGAAACATGTACTCCATTTTAGATAAACTACTTGTACCGGGTACGTATCGGATACTGACATGTGTATGGTGCGTATTCGGTATGCACCAAAGCCATGTCACTTTTTTATATTTTATTTTTAAGTTGGTATATCAATCGGTATACATTTAGTACTACGTATTTAACTTTTTTAATTTTTTTCGGGTGGTATAATTTAGACTTTTTTTATTGAATAAAAATTAGGTTATTTATTATATTTATAAATAAAAAAGTGAAAGAAAAATCAATCTATTATACTGAAACTTCTTTTACATCCAAGTTTTTCATCTTCTCTGTTGAGAGGAATCGGAGCACATATTAATTTATTCACTCATTGAAAACAAATAGACTCAATCCAAAGATAGTTGAGAATTTAGTTTTTGTTCATACGAATCTCCGTATTCTCTCGGGGAAAGAGTAAGGCTTATAATGAATGAGCAACACAAATGTGAAATGTTGGTGGAAATGAATGAGATCTATTTGATGGAGCGGATATTCTTAAAGTTGCTAATCTTTCTCTCGATGAACCTGAACTAGAAACGCTCTTTTTAATGATGTTGGAGAGGAAATATTAATAATCAGTCACTGTTTCATGATTTATTGAAAAATTTTAAGTGTAGTTTATTTATGTTGTTGCCCATATATCACTATGCCAAATAAGGGATTAGACAGCGCTTTTTTAAGCCTTTAACAGCGTTTAAAAGCGCTGCTAAAACCTCCACTGCTAAAGGTATAGACAGCGCTTATGTAATTTCAAAAGCGCTGCTATAGGGTCCCCCTTTAGCAGCGCTTACACGTTAGACAGCGCTTTTAATGTGGAATTTTAGACAGCGCTTGGTAAAAGCGCTGTCTATTCCCCCCTTTAGCAGCGCTTTTCCTTATTATTTTTTAATATATTTTTTTTCAATCACTTTAGATAGCGCTTTCATTAAAAGAGCTGTCTATTCCCCCCCCCCCCCCCCCTTTAGCAGCGCTTTTCCTTATTATTTTTTAATATATATTTTTTTTCAACCACTTTAGACAGCGCTTTCATTAAAAGCGTTGTCTATCCCCCCCCCGCAGCGCTTTTCCTTATTATTTTTCAATATATTTTTTTTCAATCACTTTAGACAGCGCTTTCATTAAAAGCGCTGTCTATTCTCCCCCTCCCTTTTAGCAGCGCTTTTCCTTATTATTTTTTTAATATAATTTTTTTTCTAACACTTTAGACAGCGCTTCTCATTAAAAGCGCTGTCTATTCCCCCCCTTTAGCAGCGCTTTTCCTTACTATTTTTTTAAATATAATTTTTTTTTTCATTTAAAACAAAACGCTGCCTATCAAATTTAATCTCACCATTTTTGCACCAGAATTTATAGCTTCATTATAACATTTTAAACAGCAACAACATCAATATACCACAATGAAACAATATTATAACAACATCAATATTCATCTCTTCAATCCTTTTTGCACAATATACACAACAACAACGTTAGTATATACAACAATGAAACAAAATCTACAATGAATTACAAAATAACTCTATCTTCTACATCGAGTTGCACCTATTTAACCTAAAACAAAGTCAAAAAATCAAAATTCATACAAGTTACCAAATAACAACAACAAAAACAATAATATTGTAACATAACTATAACGACATATACTATATTCTCAAAACTCAAAGTTATACCTTATAATAAAACTCTCAACTCCATAACAAATTGGCATCAATCCTCCATAAGTTCATCCAATTGATCTTTTGAGTATGAAGCACACTTGAATTCATTAAAGTACTACATAATAATATAACATAGTATGATTTAATTAAAATACTAAGTCATTTTATGAGAAATATTAAAATAATTCCTAAGTTAGAAATTCATACCGTGGATGGAATCTCTAATCGATCTAAAAGAATAGTTTCTTTCATAAACCTCAACATAAAATAACTGCAATCTACACCATTGCGCTGACAAGGATACTACACATGGAAAGAAAATACGGATATACATCAAGATATACACCTTAACTTGTTTTATCAAGTATCATCGCTATATAATCAAAATTGTGAAAATCTATACCTCCACTTTGATCCAAGAAATATTGTTGACTCTACTCCTTGGTACTTGAATATCTCTTTGTGCTCGAAAACTTTGTAGAATGCTATAATAAAATAATAACGAATATTTAAAACTATCGCACATAAATAATTAAATATACACAGTAATATTTTGGAACAATATCACTTACGTGTCAATCGTCTTCTTCATATCTGGGTATGTTGTCCAATCATTGCCCAATGAATCCAGATAATATACAATTTCTCTCACAGGATTAATTGCAACCAATAACCAGTGTCCACTGGAATATTAAACAAAGGCTAGATGGAAATTTTCTGCACAACGTTAAAAAACGAAAAATTATAATAGAGGAAATTTAGAATGAAAATCTTACTTGGGGCCAGTATTATATGGTAAAAAGAATAATTTTTCTGTATCTTTGCTAGCCATAAATAAATTGAACACAAATGCTATTACTTCATCTGGTTTTGAGATGATTGACCCTGCGTGGACAACGTTGGGATTTATGAAAGTGCATCTGGACTCCAATCCACACGGGCGAATCAACTTGTCATACAGAAACCTTAAATAAAAACATCATTAACATTAATTATTCATTGAAATGAGTAAATAAATTCTGCAATTAATTAAACAAAGTTGATTGGAGTATACCTGATGTATGTATTGATAACAGTCATGCCTAATGTCAAGTGTCCAAAAACTTCTTCCAAATCCTCCTTACCAATTGTTGTCATGCCTTCAGAACCATAAATCCCTTCATCCAGGGGTATAAGAGAAGTACCACCCTGCGAAATAGTTGTGAAGCTTATATATGTCTGAAGGCACGACCTATATTGTGAAGTAGTTTTCTTTCTATCCCCGATCCTCTTAGCAACACTCTTTGTTTCTGTGGGAATGTTGCTAATTACAGGCTCCTTACCCCTACTTACAGCTTCAATATCTTTAGCAGGAATAATCTAAATATCATAAAATTAGAGTGGTCAAGTATAGGACGACAAATTAACATTATCTAAGCATAAATATCATATAATTGTGTTGTACCTGTTTTTTTGCTGTCACTGACTCCTTTGGCCGCGTAATCCCTTTATCTTTTGGTTTGGATTTTGTAGGAGTCTAACATTACCATGCAAAAAAAATGTAAGTAAAACGAAGGTAAAAAATTTGAGTACTAAAAGGTTCATAACGGTTTTAATTATACCTCATCATCTATGCGAACGAGTCTTGACGGCCATGAAACAAACGCTCATATTGCCTCTCCCACCAATGTTGCATCTGAAACTTCATCTGGGATTGGTAATAACGCACCATCCTCTAAAGCAATATCAATCGACACTTTCAAATATCCAGAAGGGAGCGGTTTATGATGAAGTACTTCTCCCAGAGTGTTATGGACTTTTCCCTTGCCAACCATGCGATAAGTTGGTGTCTCTAAAAAGAGTTGACGAGGTGAAATGCCCTAAAATCAATAATAAATATGACATCGTTAATGTGTATATATGTCAGTTAAATAAATTACACTAATTTAATTTCATAATAATATATGTAAGTACCTCAGAAATACTCGGTTGAGCTGCACAATTGACACTAGCTATGTCACTAGTTTCTTTAACACCTGAAGCTTCCCTTTCTGATTGGTATTGTCTTGCTTTTTCCTTCCTCAATTCAAGAACTTCAGCTTCTAATGCATCCAACCTTGCCTGCAGTTCTTTATTGCTAGCAGATTTTGTCTTTGGGTTGTCCTTTTTAAAGGAGCTTGGAGTAACCCCGTGTCCTTTACCCCTCACCCGACCAGAATACTCACGAACATCTAATGCTCGACTAAGTATGCTCCTGCAATCATCTGGTGGAGATGTAGACTGAGACAGACTCTCCTGAAATTCATATGAATATTGGAAAAACATGAATACTATATGTTAATAAAATTTTGATTTAATTAGAATTAATGTTATACTTACGCATTTTTCAAAAATTTGTTGTACATCTTCTTTAAGAACTCCATCCTTACCCACACGGGCAGCCTTCCACAAAACATGCTCCGGAAGAGATGTTTCAGAACTACTCTCCTCTTTTAACTACACATTAACACAAAAAACAAGCTCAGTTATAACTCTTGATGAACAAGTATATCATTGCAATTTGTAAATACTTACTATTTTTTGTTCTAATCGTGCATATCCCAAACGCCCTTTTTTGTATGGATATGCGGGAGATGATGCTCTTTGACGATTTACGTCACTTACACTCTGAAATTTTGGGGTTTTCCGTTTGGCTTTAAAAACATCCCATTCTTTAACTGAAATCACATCTGCATATT